TACTATGATAGAAGAACTTGAAAAAGAATGTCAATTACAAAATATTAATTTTACTAAAAAAAATAATCATATTTGATATTTTGCACATATTATAAATTTATTTGTACAAAGTGCACTTATTTCTTTAAAAGCTAATTGTTTAGAAAGTGAAATTAAAACACTTCATAATAAAGCAACAAGTAGCATAGTTTTAAAGATAATAATATATATATTTTTTAAATTTTTTAAATTTTTAAAATTAATTTATAATATAATATATATTATATTTATTTATAATATAAAGCATACTGCAATAAAATCAGACAAAGTGAACATTTTATTATATGACATAAATGAGAAGCTAATTGTGATGTGGTTGTAAAATTGATCAGTATGACTGATGACATTTTGAAAGTAATAATGGTACTTATTTATAACTTATGGACTTGTTAATTTTAATGCTCACTTTATTATACCAGAATGTGATGAATATAAACCATAACATGATTAATATAAGATTATCTTTATATATAAAAATATTAATATGAAATTAATTTACATTAGATCTACTATGGAACCAAAGAATTACAGCATTATTAGAAGCATTCTAAAAAAAGCTTAAGATGAAAAAATTGCTCCTTATATTTTCAAAATAAATGATACTCAAACACTGAAAACTTATCTAAGAAAAAAAAGGATTACCTATGAAATTTACCATGAAGAAAGAAAAATTATAACTAATAAAAGAATATTAACACAAAATCATGATGAATCTAGAAAGAAAAGAAAATTAGAAAAAAAATAATTTATTATCTAATTTAGATTAATTAATTCCTTGATTTTTTTTTCTTTTTTCCTAACAGATAGACAAAAACTTCTATTATCAATAATATTATTGTTCCTCTCAAAATGTAAGGTAAGTAATTAATTGGATTGGTTGATAATAATTATTCTTACCTTTTCTCAGCAATTATTTGTTTAAGTTCAGAATAGGATAAAGAGATTTTATTATTGCTTTTTAAATAATTAAATATTTATTGTAATTCAGCTTTATTATTATTATTATTAATATTATGATATTCAACTACTAATTTATTATTATTATCAAGAGTAACATTTTTTATATCATGTTGAATAAAAAACTATTCTAGTTATTCTAAATCAAAAAGAGAAAAGGCTTTTTGCTCTTCATTAAACTCATAAACGTTTTTATCTTTATTATTATCCTTTGGTGTTGATGATTCTTGAGAAGTAAGAAGAGGAGTTTCTTCTTCACTTGGAGAATCACTATCTTTTTCTAAGGGAGGAACTTCTTTTTTCTCTTTTTTTTGATTAGATTTCTTCCTCATCTATATTAAACCTCTTTCTTATTTCATCCACAAACTCCTTTTCTTTTTGTTTTTTTATTTCTTTATGTTTTTGTTTTGCTAGTTCAGTTAACTTATTCTTTAACTCTTTAGATACTTCTTTTAATTTTTTCTTATCTAATTTGAGAATATCTTCAAGAGAGTAATTATTGGAATTAGCCAAGATTTCTTTTATTGGTTTATCTCTTTTTTCTTATAAGAATTGTTTAAACTCTAGAACTTCTTTTTTATCTATTTCCAACACTTAAAGATTTTTCAGTGATTGTCAATCAGAACATGCTCAACATAAAAATAGTTTTTTTAATTTATCTACTTTTCAAGTTTTAAGATTTGTCTATCAGAGGAGGAATAAAATAAGTAATGATGATTAAAAAAATCAAGAAATTCTAAATTTTTTTGAATTACTAGCATTAATTTTATTAATTAAATTTTCTTTATAAGACAAACTCTAAGTTTTTTAAGTGTTAATATCTAATTCTTTTAAACTGTTCTCAGCACAATCTAGTATTATCAAATTTTCACAATCCTTGACATTTAGGTTACAAAGTGATATTTCTTATTGATGACAAATAAACAATTCTTTCAAACTTTTTGAGTTGTGACAGTCTAATTCTTCTAACCTATTTTTATAATAATATAAATACTTTAAATTTTTTAACTCTTTAATTTCTAACTTTTCAATATCATTACAATAAAAATATACACTTTCTATTTCTAAGTTATTATTTAAATCTAAAGCATCTAAATTATTTAAATTACAATTTAAACTTTTTAAACTAGTTAAGTCACTTAAATCAACTTCTTCTAGTTCATTAAATGTTATCATTAAAGTATGTAAATTACTTAAACCAGTGAAATCTGTTTTTCATATTTCATTATGATTAGCATGCACTTTTTACAATTCTTTATTGCTATTAACATTTAACTTTCATAATTGATTATTTGAATAATCCTAATATTTCAATTTCTTATACTTTATATAAATCTAAATCAATTAGTTCATTATTACTACAATCTAAACTTTTTAAATTAGTAAATCCTTTTAAGTTTAATTCTCCTTATAATCCTAAACTGCTAAGATCTAGTTTTTTCACTTCATTTCTTTTGTCAAGAGGATACTTAACATCTAACCAAGTTTGAGCATAACCATCTACCCTACTTCTTTTTATGATATCTTCTAATCCCAAATTATCTAACCTCTTTTTTTCATTAGTAGTTAAAGGATTATCACTATAAAAGATAGTTCTTAAGTTTTTACTCTTTAATTTTTCAACTGGAAAGTCTCATTTAATTAATTGATTATTATGAATATAAATTTCTTTAACAGAAGAACAGTTCTCTATCTTTAACTTAATAAATTTATTATGGGCTATCTATACTAATTTTAAATCAGGATAATTGCAAATAATAATCTCTTCTAATAATTCATTATTATCTAAATTCAATTGAGTTAAATTAGGGAAGTTCTCTATTATTACTTTACCAGTATAGTCTTATTGAATAAAACAAAGAGTTCTAATTTTTTTTTAACACTGGCTAAATTGTTAAAATCCTTTTTTTCTTATTTTGCTTTCAGCCTTAATCAATTTGTTAATCAAACTTAATTTTCATATTCTTGGTTTGTCATGAGAAATAGTTAATAGTTATACATTTATTAATAATTAATTACATATATAAATATAATTTAATGTATTCATCTTGGTCTTGGATAAGTAATATCTTTGAATTTATCTCTAATAAATAAACGAATATTCTGGTAAAGATATTCTTGTCTTTTGTAATCCAAAAAAGATGGTGTTAATACTAAAATAGATAAAGTTCTAATTTCTTCAAAAATATCTGCTTTCATAGTTTTAATAAACTGAATTCAGAAAAGGTTTATTAGCAACTTCTTGAATATTTACTGTACTAAGATTAGTTACTTTAAAAAGAAAATGTTGATATTTCTGAATACTTGATAATTTCTTAAAATAAATTCCTAAAATAGATTTGATATTTAAGTATTAAAAACCTTTTCTATCTTCATAACATTGAGCTTTATTCAATCCTGCTAGACTTGATTTTTTTATAACTTTTACAACATGGTTTACATAATCTATACTTATTTTTCTATAAAATTTTTAATCATTCCAAAACTACCATCACATTTGAATTTGATATGCCCAATAATCATGAAATTCAATTTAATATTTTTCATAATATTCACAAATTACCAAATATAAATAAAACCAAATTATTACATTATTTTTATTTTGATCACCTGCATTATCACAAGTAATCTTTAAATGCTTTTCACTTTTATTTAATTTATTAATTCCATTAAAAATTATGCTAAGTGTGTCATTAGATCCTTTTTCTATAATTTCATCTTTATTAAGAATATAATTGATTTGTTCCTTTACTGCTTCATCTTGAATACTAAATAAATGAATTTTATATAGACTAAGATAATAGATTTTATTTACTTATTGATCTGAATGTAACACATGAATATTTTGAGCTCAATTATAACTATAATGAGTAGTGACATCAATACTACAATACTGTATTTTACCCTTTGAATAATGTTAATTTACTAATTTTCTTTGTTTTTATGCTAATTTTGGTATTTTTATTATAATAATTTCTTTCTAATTTTGCCTTAGATAGATATTCTTTAAATCTTTTGAGTAATTCTTTAGCTTCTTTCTCTTAGCAAGTATTATAATATAAACCATTTCTAAAATGTTGATAAGTATCATACAGATCAATTCTGAGACTCATAATTTGAATTTCTGATGTCAATTGATGTCATAATTTTCTGAAGACATCATATTTTAAGAATTTCAATTTGCTATCTTCTTCTAAACCAATCAGAAAATCTCTATATACAGATTTATAACTCATTTTAGCTAGTAAAAATATAATTAATTGAGTTATTCTATTGATACTTTTTCTTGGACTTGGTAATCTATGAACTTCTACATAATTTTCAAGAAAGTTTTTTACTATTTCAGCTCATTTTTATCAATTATCATCTTAGTTTTCCATTAAGGCATTCTTTTAATATTACCATAAATTCTTGGTAAAAGACTATTACTTATTAGGTGATTTCTAATATTTTTAAAATAAGTTCTATCAATTCTTAGCATATTGAGATAAGTTTCTTGATAAAGGAATATATTGTGATCCTAATAGTAGAAAGTTCTTTTATTAGATCTGGTTTTCTTTTTAAGACGTCTACTAATGCTTATTGATCTATCATTCATTACTTTAAGTTGAGCCATTAAAAATATATCTTGTTCAAACTTAAAAAGTACTTGAAAAGATTTTCTTAATTCTGCAAATTCTTCCTTAGAAATTTTTAAAGAACAATTACATTTACAACCTTTTTCTAAAAAATTAATTGCTTTTTGATATTCATTAGAACTATTATATTTATTACCTTGTTAATATTTTTCATATACATTTATTCCTATATATATAATTTTATAATTTTTGTTTACTTTGTATTATTTTAATGCAGGCACACTAAAAAAGCAATCACCAATTTTTTGAACTAATATTAGTATTTCAAAATAGAAAAATTCAATATTATTAAATGCTTTTTGATAAATAATTGTTATCAATATGTTTTTTTAATATAAAAACCAAATTTCTTATTTAAACTTATTATTATAAAGGGTAAATTTCTTTGAGTTATAAATATACTATATTATAAGATTGTAAAAGTTAAATTCATTTATGTTTTTACAATAAACAAATATTCATTAAGCAAGAATAATTTTAAATTTTGTTATTAAAAATTAATCAGTAAAAAGGAACTATTAGTTTGTAAAAACTCAATATTTCTAGTATTGTAAAATTAGAATCATTTAAAATGTCTTTTATCTTATCATTTTTGTTTACTTTTCTTGTAATTTTCTTTCTTATCATCATCATAAAATCTGCGTTGTATACAATATAAATAAATATTAGTAACTAGAGAATAAAAACTAAAAATAATAAAAATAACATTACCTTTTTCTGGAATATATACAAGGCATCATTTAATGTAAAAATTATTCAACATTATATTTCTCTTTAGCCAATCAGATTTGGTCAGTCCATGAATGTAAAAGACTTTGAAAGATTATTTTATATTCTGTAGTGATATTGAAAGAGTCTAAGCTACAAGCAACAAGTTGATTATGTTTGGATAAGTCATATATAGAATTAGATTTATTATGAAGGTCATATAATGAAGTATTATTAAATTGTTTATATTCTTTATTATAACAATATATTTCTAATGAAAATTTATTAATATATGTCAAATCTACAAGAAGAATGAAGATAGTTTGTCAAAGTAATTTGGATATCAATATAATATAAAATAGACATTAAATAAGAGGAAAGATATTCTTATCAACATGTAGTAATATATCTAAATTGTTATCTTTTAACTCATTGGATAACTATTTTCAAATATAATATTTGGTGAAAGTGAAGATTCAAGTTCATATTTTATTTTACTGTCTCTGTATACATGATTCTTAATCTATGAATAATATTGTTATGTTAATTATATAAAATAGAATGAATATTAAGAATAATATTTAGAATTATACCTGAATTAATATTATTTCTATTTTTATATTTTTATTATACATAATTGGAATAATTAAATCTATGTCTTTTTGATTTCTTTTACATAACACAATACTACATTATTTATAGATTAAAATAAGATCTTCTTTAACTGATACATATGTGACTAGAATGAAATGTGTAAATCCTAACATAAAATTATTGAAGTGGAAAAATTTTTCTTTTAGAAATGCATAACCAAGAAGTTCTTGAAGGAAATTAATAACTGAAAATCAAGAAGAAAATGTCACCTATACATATAATAGTGAGGATGAGAACACAAAAAAGTGATAATTAAAAAATGCTAGTTTATAAATACTTTAGAGTTAATTGACTTTTGTGAAAGGATCAGATGATGTCAGGCATTCAATAATAATAACCTTACAGCAAGCTCACCTTGAGTGCTAGTATTAAGAATACTACCTGATTGAAAAGTGTAATCTAATTCTTAAAGAACTTCTTTTTAAATATTTCTCTCTGACATTAGTTCTAATGAAGCCTCTGAAAGTATAGGTTCAAAAGGGTATGTGATAATATAATTTTCATAATTTTTATCAATTGTAATCAGAGTAACCATGTGTGCCCTAACAAGTTCTAGTGCAATGCTTAATGCTAGGAAGACATATAAAATAACAATGTATGCAATTAATGCAAGAGTAACAGTCCTCTTTCATTGACTATTAGATTTACCTATATTCCAACTAGAGGTACTTCCAAGAAGTTTAGCTTTTGCAAGATTTATTACATCACGAAATTTAAATTGATTATCTAAGTGTTTGCTAGCTATCCAATTAGATACCCAAAAAGGTCTATCAAACTGAATAATATCATATGTTGAGATATCTTTATCATGTGGAATCTGATCTATGTCACTATATAAAATTAAGTTGTAAAAAAAAGTTATCAAAAGTAAATAATAATGTATATAAACATTTCAATAAAAATGATGAGATATAATACCTTAAGCAATCCTGTATTACTATATAAATAAATGGTTTATGAATATTATGATCATATTCCCTTACCTATAAAACCAAAATTAAAAAACTTTAATAATTTGTAAAGTCTGCCATTTTGTCATAGAAATATTATTTTGTGTACATTTACAGAACTGTCTTTATTTTTTAATGGTGTAAGGTTAGCAATAGAAAAATTTGTATCAGTAAGAATACCATAAGCATATTCTAAAAAGAAATATAAAACTTGATGAATTGCTTAAAAAGGTTTATTATCATTATCTTAATTATCTTTATAAGCTTGGTTTATTTTAATATCTATTAAAAAAATAAATCTTAATCTAAGAATAAATCTCAACCTATTTTAAAATATAAATAAAATCATACCAAGAAGGCAGAAGATTCATCAAAAAAAATGGCTATTTATTTTGTAATTTTATTATCAATTTTTTGAGTATTCCAATTTGATTTTAAGATCTTTTTTGTTGAATGAACCTTCGTTCAGAAATGTTTTCCAATTCCTATTTTTAAAAAAAAATTAAATAATAATATGTTAATCACATATTATAACATTAGCAGAGAAAAATATATTATCTTACAGTATTTGTCAATAATTTTGAAGACTTCAATTTCATCTCATAAAACACAAATATCATTAATTTAAGCTATATCTTTGCCATTTCTTTTGCAATTGCTATATTTGTTGCTTCTTTAATTTCTTTTAGCATAATATCACTCTTTGGTATTGCTAAGGGGTATTCAGTTAAGCCTTTATTATGAAAACATATATATATTAAAGGATGTGATTTTACAAGCTCATATATAGACATATCTTGATGATTGAACAACAGGTAAGTAATTGTAGTAATTTTTAGGAGATTTGGAAACTTTGCTTAATTGATTCTTTAAAAATGATATATAATTGACATGGTCCTTGAAATCAATTTGGAAAGCACAATTCAGATCTATATAAAATATCAATTAATATTAACAATTGAGCAGGGTTAAAGAAACAAAATATCATTGAAGATAAATTGAATTCTTATATAACTCTTTATTCCTAGGTTTCTCTTCATTTAGATCATCAACTATAATTACAAAAAATGATGCAGGTTGATAAAAAAAAGCATAGATTAGCCAATATTGTAAACAATATATCAAATGTTTTATTAATAAATAAATAAATAAACGAAATAGAATGAATGAAAAATATTTATATTTTTACGCAATTTATTCATTACTTTTCCTTTCTTTAAATTCAACTAGTTTTTTTTATAAGTACTTCACCTGATCTCCCCACCTCTTCTTCTCTGCTTCCAATGACCCCTTTTTCTCCTTCCATCTTTCCTTCTCCTTCTTTTTCTCTTCACTAAGTTTTTTACTTTTCACCTTTTTCCTCACTTGTTCAACCACTTTCTATCATTTTCTCCTTCTTCAAATTTCTTCAAATTCTTTGATATTTTGTCTAATCTCACATCTGCTTTTATTAATTCTTGTTTAATTTCTTCTTTTATTATCATTTTTTAAAAAACTAAAAGATTTAAAATTAATTTTTTTAAAAAAAATTTTTTTTTGTCATTAATCAATTATTCATTATTTGATAAAAATAAAATTTATGGTTGCAATTATCATGATATCAATTGTATTATTATTTTAATTAATTTTGATTGATCATTGTTAAGAGATCAATATGATCAACTATCAATATGAATTTCATGAAAGTAAAATTTATTCCAAAAAATCGAGATTTATTTTTTTTATATAAAAAAATGTAAAAAAGCAAAAAAAGTGTAACTTTGTTTCATTTTTTACAAAAATGTAATAAATTAACCATGCCTATACTATTAAGAAAAAATATACCTTTAAGTTATTTTTTAAAATAAATAGTATAATAAATTTTGTAGCAGTCAAAACCTTAAAATGATCTTTCTTCAAAAAGTTCAAAATTTATCATTATTATTTTTATGGCGAGAATGAAATATATCTGTTACTGAAAAGTAGAAACACTTTGCAGATTATATCAATATACATTATAGTAAATTGAATTTAAGAGTTTCGATAATGATAAGACAATATATTAAAAATACTATTATTCAATTTACTACAAGTGATAGTTTAGTAATAACAATGTAGCATTAGTAATAATTGAAAAAATATTCTGTCAAGAAAAGTTAAAAACCTTTCATTAATTATTTATTATTATGAGATTAAGCCTAATATTATTTTATTAATGAAGTTAATTTGCTTTACTGATGAGAAGGTGAGAGTAAAGCAAATTCCAGTAAAAATAAGATTTTCTGTTTAAAATATATAGTGTAAACCAAATGGAATTTTATGTTAGTTAGATAGCATTATTGTTAATGTGCAATCCTTGCGAATTGCGACTGTTAGATGGGGTGTTCAAGTGGTGATTCTTCTAAGTTTACGTAGCAACTCAATTTAATTTATCTCAGGATTTATAATCTACACAATAGTGTATTCACAATAAAACTAGAAGCAAGACAGCTCGATTAATTCAGAGGTATAATAATATGTTTATTGATAATAATAAAAATAAAGATAAGAGATAATAATAAAATAAGAAAATAAGAATATAAGAAAGTAAGAAAGAATACGAAAAGAAGTCGAAGGAGTTAGAGTACTAAGTGAGATATTAGGCCAAGCACTTCTACAAGAGCTACTAAATGCGTATCTAAAAGCAAACTAAAGGAAAACTAAAAGTGAGCTAAAAGCGAACTACTGTTTACATGATTCTATTACTCTCTATTTATATTAAATTAATACATAGATGGATATAACAAATAAATCAAATATATCTCATATGTCCGATATGTCCAAGATATCAATTATATCAAATATGTTCAGTATATCAAATATATCAAATATGTCTGATATGTCTGACATTTAGATCTGCAATATTCTGCGTTATGTTTATCAATCCAATCCTGTTACATTATTTAAAAAGCATTTATATACAAGTGTTAAAGTATACATTACTATAGATAAAAGATAATGGTAAGATAATTAATCTTATTTAAAATATTTAATCAGAATGTTTATATATTTTTTATTGTTAAGCTAACTTTATAATTATAAAATATTTAGATTTGATATTGTATGATTATCGTTATTAACTCAAAAAATAGGAATTTAAATAAGAAGAATAGATTTAAAACCAATCGTATCAACTAATTGATAGTATATTTTTTCAATTTCATTGGTTAATTACAGGTTTTTAGATAATTCCAGCAACTGGAATAGCTAGTAAATGAATTTTCTGAAGCAAATAATTCATCAAAGTGATTCTAGATGTTGCTCTATTAATTAAGCTAAAAATCTTTATATTTTGCTGAAGATACTTTTATTATAGTCAAAAATGTGATCAATGCTGTTGTCGAGCAGTATTGTGCTGTAATAGCATCAAAGTTCTAACTTTTTATGGTTCTTTAAAGAAATTGGTATGTAAATTTTTAGCATAGAGTAAATTTTCTAAGATATGTACGCATCTAGATTATTATTCATATTCAAAGAGAATATTAGCGAAACTTCTTGAGAGAATTCAAAAGAGGCAGAGCCTGTATTATTGAAGAATTATATGGAAAAAGCATTATCAAACTTAGTATTTATCAGACATGTATATTAGTATTAGAATTTAAATTTCATTTATTGCTCTTTGATCATTATATCTGAAAGAATGTTTTATGATTATTATTTCAATTTGTAATTAGATGCATTATATGCGAGAATATCCTGTGAGTATCATTTAGAGAAACAGACATCAATTTATTTCTATATATATTAATTTACTTTTTACATGACAGGAATGGCAATTCTTTTTTCTTCCTTAAACAATCATCATCACAACTGATATTATTAACCATTGAGAGCAATCCTAGAACTCATACCATTGATTTAATCAGATAAATATGAAAATGAATGCTAAGAACAAAGACAGACATGATATCGATATTTATTACGATAATTGATACAAATAAGGAATAACATGCAAAGGTATTTATTTTACTTATATTCAATATATTTATTGTATTATTTTATTTTCATTATCGTTATTCTTTTCAATTTATATTTATTATTATATAGGAAAATCAGAAGAATATAAACGTGCTTATTTGAAACAGATAAGCGTCATCGATAAATGAATGCATCAGGTCATAAAATTATAAATGGCACACTTCTTAAGCAGATATTAGAATATCAATATTAGTATGATAATTATTTTTATATAGAATTTATCGATCTATATATAGCAATAGCTTGTGATAAAGATTTGTACCTCTAAAATATGACATAATCAGCATAATATACAAATAATATGCAACTTTTTTTTTTAATTTTTTTATACTTATAAGTAGTTTCTTTACAAAAAGTTTATAGTAGTTGTAATCCTTAAATAATCTTCATCAAAAGTTTTTTTTTAAAAAAAAAAAAAAAAAAAAAAAAAAAATGTCTTTTAAAAATGAAAATATCTGTTTTGGGGAAATGAGAACTCTTGCAGACTATATAAATAGTTGCAAATTTGAATATAATGATCCTGATAAGGATAACATCTTACTTAAGAATAATAATTATAATATTACAACTGATAATACTTGTGAAATTCTGACAACACCTACTACAAATGATAGCAATAGTGAAGATATTCATGAATTTTTGTTCAATTATAAGCATTTCAAAATGCTAAAGAAAAAGCTAATTTAGATGAATGTAATGAAGTTAATATCGATATAATATAGAAGGACATAGATTCGATTGAAAAGATTCTATTGAAAAAAATTCAACAATTAGTTCTGATGAAAACTATTTAATAAGTGATATTGAGTGTAAAAATCTTGTTCTATGTGTATTGATAGATATTTTCAATAGACAAATAAAACGTTATCCAAATTATATAAAGCTAAGACATATTCTTCGTTCTTTTTGATAATTAATAGAAACGTAGGAAGTTGATAGAACTGTTATTAGTCAAACTAATCCTGAAACTATATTACACACTTTAGGTATTTGTATGTCACATTTTACATTTAATCAAAATCAATTACATAAAAAAAATCAAAACAAATACGATCAGTAAAAAAAAGTTATATTTATTAACGTCAATGTCTCTTTTGTCACAAAGATAAATATTTTTTTAGTTATGATGAGAGTTGTATAAAGCATTTTATGAATATTATAAACTAAAATATACAAATACCTTACGTAGGACTCCAAGTGTGTTCAGCTTTTAATGATAAAAATAGAATTTCTAAAAAAATAATGATAATACAAATTAGTATGTTTTCAAACAGAAGGTAGTCATTTTTTTAAGCATAAAGAAAGTGGCACAAAGGTTTTTTCCTGTCAAAAAGAATATAATCATAATACTATTGATGCTCTTAAATTATTAGGATGATGAAATAGACTTTGATATAAATACAGTTTATCAGGAATTAGTTAAATATGTTGAATTAGAATGTAAATTATTATCACTTAATGTAATTATTTTAGAACCCAGTGAAAATCCATGTAATAATGAGGCTGTACACAATGCTTGTAATATGTACATATGTAAAATTATCATCTTAGTGTGGCTATCATGCTAATAAAACCTTGTGTGATACTAAATAACTACATAATATCTTACAGATTAATCATCCACCTCTTTATGCATTGAGAAATATTCTTGGAGCAGAGCTAATGGAATAATTAAAACACAAGCAAAAAAAAATAGCTTTTTCTTTTAAAATCGTATCTGAAATAAATATACAACTACTAAAAGCTTGACTAATCAAAATTTTTAACGTTTTATTAACTAAGGGATTTTTAACTTGATGTATTTTAAAGATTTTTTTCCAAAAAATGGTAATTATAAAAATATTAATGTAGCTTATGATGAAGTGATCTTTCGTCAATTAATTTCTTATCAAGAATAAAAATTTGAATTGAGACTTTTACTTGGTGCATGACATACAATTAAAAAAATGTGTATCACTTTGATCACTATTTTTTCAGGATATGAAATTTTTAATTTAATGGCTTGTATTAGTGATCACTATTTAGACAAATTAGAGAAGGTAGTAGATTATTAAGTGATATACTATGTCTTAGAATTAATATAGGTAGCAGTTAGAATTTCTTTGAATCAAATTTTGAAACACAAAAATCAAACCTTTAATGACATTATTCAAAGTGATAATAACTATATAATGAAAGTATGGGTATTTATATTTTTGTTAGTGTGGGTATTAGATAGGATATAAAATAGAAATTCAATATGATTATTATGATATGCAATTTGAAAATTTGATTGCATTTACCTCACTTTTTCCTGTAATGGAAAAAAGTAACTATGCAAGATCAGTTACTTATTTTTTATATATCATTTTTGAAAACCCATCTTTACAATTATTACTTCATCATGCATGTTCTATCAATCTTACTAGTCCAGGTTATTTTTTTGCTTTTGATGAAGATTTGACGTAAAGTATATAAAATAAAATATTGGAAAAATCCTGATAATGGA